ATCCTCGATGAAGCTTGGCGTGAGGTTTTGCAGCACCGTCTTTTGGTCCGTCATGATTGGTTTCTTGTGGATCAAAAGATATTTCCACAAAGTTCGTTCAAGTTCAGGATCAAGTTCAAGTAGCTCTTCCACTCCTTTAGAGCGGGTGTGCATTCATTTATCTTGAAATCTTTATACAAATGTCGCAAGTGCGAAAAAGTCTCCCTAACTAGAATTCACCTATGCTAGAACTAGATTAAGAAATTACCGTGTCATTCCCCGGCAACGGCACCATTTGATAACCGCTTACGCGGCGTTGTAGTAAAACGGAGTCTAACCTTTCGGTTTTTCCCCGAGTATCGTATCTCTTGAGGAATGGCGGAGGAGTTTTCTTAATTTAGTCTTAGTCACGGGCTATCGCTAATTGTTGGAAGTTTTTTCAATACAAAAAGGTGATTGTGTTCTAGATTAGGCCAATTTGAACAATTATACTAGGAGCAAATTTCAACTAAAGATTTAAGATCAAATATTCTAAAGATTAATGAAAGGATTGAGGCAAGTAAGGGCAATGAATTGAGTAATTGGAAATGGATATATTCTTGGACCTAGTAATTAGGGGAATTTAAAACTAAAATTGGACTAATAATTTCTTTTCTCATAGACAAGAATAGAAATTACTTTATTAATTTATCCTATTTCTAGGTTTCATTAATGTATTCAAAAATGGTTGGCTTGAATTAAATTCTAATCTCATAGAAAAGGCAGAAATAATTCTCCAAAATTTTAATTAATAAAAATAGCCAAATTCTCCAAATATGTATTTCAAATAATATGAAGGTGAATTTCATCTTTATTTTATAATCTTTATTTGATAGTTGTCGGGAAAAATCCTGAAATAGGAGTAATTTTTTTTTTGAGAATATATTCCAGAAAAGGACGGTCATGTGTTTATTTTCTAAATAGGAGTCTTACTGTGATGTTCGGAAAATACTACCATGTGTAAAGTATGATACTGTCAAATTATGACAGTAATTACTTCTATTTAGGTAATAAAAATATGATAATCTTAATTTGGAATATACACACGTTTTTAGTCCTATTTAGAGTAATTTCTCATAGTTTTATTATACTCCATAAGTTTTACTTTAAATAAGTATAATTTCTTGTTTGTCTTAGAAGTAAGGCCAAAATAGTATATCGCCCATAGGCCTAAAACTGGACAGGACCGGCCCTGGAGACATGGTTAAATGCACCTTCTGCCACAAGACGGGCCACGACGTGGAACATTGTTTCCGGAGAACTGGAAACTACCCGGAGTGGTGGCATGACAACTCGGGTAGGGGATGTGGTGGTAAGAGCCGAGGGGGAGCTAACCAAGGTGGGACTGGACGTGGCGGACCTGGGCGAGGTAATGGACGTGGAACGACACATGCCATGCATGTGGGAGAATACCGGGAAAATGGACTAGTGTTGAACGAGGCCAGAGAAATCAACTTGCACAAGCCTGGGTTTACGGATGAGCAATGGCAGTCCTTCCTGAAGATGACGGAAAAATGTAAGACTACACCGACGGAAGAAAAATTGACAGGTATGAAAATTACTGATAAGTGGCTCTTGGACTCCGAAGCGTCCTATCACATGACTGAAGATGTAAATATGTTAAAGGGAAAAACAAAAATAATCTCTGTGGCAGTAGGAAAGGCTGTGATCAGTTCACAACTCACGCTGGCGGATGTGTTGTTCGTGCCTGGGTTACAGTGCAATTTAATCTCTTTAGCACAATTAATTGATAACCAAAAATGTGATATATTTTTTACTAATGATTTATGTGTAATACAGGACCTACTTACGAGGACACCGATTGGAGTGGGTGAACGTCGAGGGGGAGTTTATTATTTGCGGAGTTTGGATTATGGACAGGCACACGCAGTGACAGGAGATCTGGCTCAGGTGATTTGTGGCACTCACGGTTGGGGCACCCGTCATTGCAAGTTTGCGTTTACTTGGTTATTTGAATAAAACATTGTTACATTCTGTTGAAAATAAAACGTGTGATGCTTGTGTGCGGGGCAAACAAACACGTGATAAGTTTGATATTAGTTTTGCTCGTGTTGTTGAACCTTTTGAGTTAATTCATTGTGATATATGGGGTCCATACCGTATTCAATCTTCATGTGGTGCTCGATATTTTTTTTCCATAGTGGATGATTTTTCTAGAGCTGTTTGGGTGCATCTAATGCGGGACAAAAGTGAGGTCAAAACTATTATTAAACATTTTTTTGCGATGACTAGTCGCCAATTTAACAAAGTTGTGAAAGTTGTTAGAAGTGATAATGGCAAGGAGTTTGTAGCTCTTCAAGAATATTTTTCGACCAATGGGATAATTTTTCAAACATCATGCGTCTACACACCTCAACAAAATGGAAGGGTAGAACGGAAGCACAGGCACATATTGGATGTCGCGAGAACACTTCGCTTTCATGCTAATTTGCCTATCGAATTTTGGGATGACTGTGTCTTGACGGTAGGATATTTGATCAACAAATTGCCGTCTCCTGTTATAGACAATAAAAGCCCCTATGAACTACTATACAATAAACCACCTTTGTATAGTCAGCTTAGGGTCTTCGGGTGTTTGTGCTATGCACGTGAGACCCAGAAAAGCGGAGACAAGTTTGCACCACGAAACGTTCGATGTGTATTTTTGGGGTATGCCTATCCCCAGAAGGGTTGGAAAGTGTATGATCTCCAAAATCAACGACACTTTATTTCACGTGACGTTAAATTTATTGAAAATTCAGGTACCCAAGTAATTGGCACCGTGGAATTGCATGCAAAGGAGCCAAGACTACGTGTGTGATGATGATGACTCCCTGGACACCCACAGTGACTTAGCCACGTGTCATAGAACTACTACGCCATGGAGCAATGATACCCATGGTGAGTCAAGAGGGAGTTCCACTCCTTTGGCTTCAGCAACAGATGGTCCGTTCACAACCAACATGGAGACCCACACTCCAGACAACTTTCATCATGCTCAAGACGAGGGTCGGCCACGACGTGGGACACGACCACGTACCGCTCCATCATGGCACCAGGACTACGACGTGCAACTGAACACGGTTAAAATAAACTCTCCCCTCATCGGCACTACCACTTTGACGGTTGATTCAGGTACTCCTTATTCCATATCTCATTATGTAAAATATAATCATTTTTCGGTTCCGCACCGAGCCTTTCTTGCAGCTATTTCTACGACTAAGGAACCCGCTAGTTTTGGAGAAGCTGTATGTGACCCGCAATGGAGGGCAGCTGTGAATCGAGAGATTGCAGCTTTAGAGCGCACTGGTACTTGGCGGGTCCAGGAGTTGCCGGCTTGGAAGAAAGTAATTTTTTGCAAATGGGTTTACAAGATCAAGTACAAGAGCGATGGGTCACTGGAACGCTATAAGGCACGGCTGGTTGTGTGCGGGAACAAGCAGGTGCAAGGAATTGACTACGGTGCGACTTTCGCTCCGGTCGCCAAAATGGTCATAGTTCGTACCATTTTGGCGGTAGCTGCTTCTTGTCATTGGGAATTGCACCAAATGTACGTGGATAATGCGTTCTTGCACGGGGATCTTCGTGAAGAAATTTATATGCATCCTCCGCTGGGATATTCCGCTGCCTCTCCTGGCATGGTGTGTCGGCTGCTTAGATCCCTTTATGGTCTCCGACATGCTCCGGGGTGTTGGTTCTCCAAACTTACTGCCTCTTTGAGGGCATACAGATTTGTTCAATCCCACGCCGATTACTCTGTGTTCACTATGCGCAAGGATAGTTGGATCCTATGTGTACTGATTTACGTTGATGATTCACTCATCACCGGTAATGACCGAACTATGATTGAGCATTTTAAGACCTATCTTGCTGCCTCATTTCCCGTTAAAGATTTAGGAGTCATGAAATATTTTTTGGGGATTGAGGTTGCACGCAATCCCATTATCATTTTTCTGTGTCAACGGAAATATGCGCTCGATATTTTATCTGAAACGCTATCGCAGGCTTGTTAGGAAACTTATTTATCTGACTTTGACTAGGCCCGACATCAGTTATTCAGTTCATATTCTTTCCCAATTTATGCAAAAACCCGGAGTGGCTCACTGGGAAGCCGTGCTACGTGTCCTGCGATATTTGAAAGGGAAACCTGGTCACGGTATTTTGTTTCGCTCCAACTCTTATCTTTCTCTCACCGGTTATTGTGATGCTGATTGGGCGAGTTGTCCAGTCACTCGTCGGTCTGTTATAGGCTATTTTGTCTCGTTGGGTTCATCTTTGGTGTCTTGGCGTACCAAGAAGCAAGCAATTGTATCTCGTTCTTCCGCAGAGGTTGAATACCGAGCCATGGCCTCGGTAACATGCGAGCTTATTTGGTTACGTAATCTACTTCGGTCATTGGGCGTGACTCCTTCCGGACCCATACGTCTGCATTGTGATAATCAAGTGGCTATTCATATCGCTTCTAATCTCGTTTATCATGAACGCACCAAGCACATCGAATTAGATTGTCATTTTATTTGGGATCATATTCAAGCTGGTACTATCACCCCTTCCTACATACCCACTACTTAACAACCTGCAGACTTGTTCACTAAGCAATTTGAAGCTCAACAATTCTTTTATCTGCTTGACAAGATGGGCATTTGTGATCCCCATGGTCCATCTTGAGGGGGGGGGGGGGGGGGGGTTAGACATTATTATATATTATTTTGTAACATTGGTTTTATGTACAAACTTGTATGAACTTGGGTAGCTTTTGTATAAGGATAGGATTTGTATTCATTATTACTTCCTGATTTTTCTCCGGATGGGTTGCGCATGCAGCTGGCACCATTCCATTATGTAACTTGTATATATGGAGATATTATTGGGATGTATTGGGCGGCCTGTTACGGCCTGTTAGTCATACCACTTCTTATTTTATTATTAGTCAAACTCTTTTATTCTTAATGTATTTCTTTAGTCAATAAAACCGCATGTGTGCGGTGGACAAGTCCTAGTGGGATACTGCTAGGTATTCAGATGTATTTAACCTCCCTTTGGCATATTAATGGACACGGAAAATCATTCTTATTTGTTTAACACCTTTCGATCATGGTATCAGAGCCTTAATAGGCGTTGCCACGTTATCATGGCAAAAAGGGGTGGCGAGTTTATGATCTCGAAACCAATGAGTTCTTCGTTTCCCGGGATGTCCAGTTTTGTGAGAATATATTTCCTTTTGCTGAGTCACCTGGTGATGAAAATGTGTATCCAGAAAATCTCACTGATCTGCCCATTGACAAGTTTGACCAATATTTGTCTGGTCCGGCCACGCAATCTGTCGCACGATCACATGATCCTTCTTCGTCTGGTCTGCTGCCTTCAGCTACTGCACCATGCGACGCACCAACAACTTCTGCTCCAAATGTTGCTCCCTCGTCATCAATTGATCCTGTCATGGGTCGGGGTCAGCGTTCCAAATACCCATCAGTCAAGCTTCGAGAATTTGTTACTCATACGGTTGCTAGTAAAAGTCCATTCCCTTTGTCATCCACCTCTCAGCTCTCTTCAGGTACTCCTTTTCCTTTAGCACATTACATTAATTGTGATAATTTTTCTAAGCGGCACCGGGAGTTTCTTGCGGCTGTTACTACAGGTATTGAACCTCGTACGTTTGCTGAAGCCATGAAAGACGCAGGTTGGCGGCAAGCTATGCAGTCTGAGATTGCAGCTCTTGAAGATAATAGCACCTGGGATTTGGTTCCTTTGCCTCTTGGTAAGCACGCGTTGGGCAGCAAATGAGTGTACAAGATCAAATATAACTCTGATGGTAGTGTTGAACGTCTCAAGGCACGCTTAGTTATTCTTGGGAATCACCAAGTTGCCGGCATAGATTACAATGAAACATTTGCCCCTGTTGCTAAAATGGTAACTGTACGTGCTTTCTTGGCAGTTGCTGTTGCTAAGAATTGGGAGTTGCATCAGATGGACGTACATAATGCTTTTCTTCATGGTGATCTACATGAGGAAGTCTATATGAAGTGTCCGCCTGGCTTTCAACCTTCCTCTCCAAATAAGGTGTGTAAGTTGAAGAAATCTCTTTATGGCTTAAAACAGGCACCTCGCTGTTGGTTCGCTAAATTGGTTGGTACTCTCAAAACTTATGGGTTTCTTCAATCTTACGCGGATTACTCTTTATTTACTTATACTCAGGAGAATATTCAGATTAATGTATTGATTTATGTGGATGATCTGATTGTGTCTGGAAATAATTCTGAGGAGCTCCGAAATTTTAAATCATATTTGCATCAGTGCTTTCACATGAAAGATTTAGGTGTTCTCAAATATTTTTTGGGTATTGAAGTGGCTCGAAGCACGGATGGTTTATTTCTTAGTCAACGAAAATATACTCTTGATATTATTTCTGACTCTGGCTTACTCGGTGCTAAACCAGCTACCTGCCCGATTGAACCACATCATTCTCTTGCTCGTGCCACTGGTGATCTTCTTTCTGATCCAGAGCCTTATCGTCGCTTGGTAGGGCGACTGATCTACCTTGCTATCACACGACCAGACTTGTCCTACTCCGTTCATATTTTATCCCAATTCATGAATCAACCACGCACAGATCATTGGATGGCTGCCTTGCGTGTTGTTCGCTATTTGAAAGGCACTCCTGGACAAGGTATTTTACTTCATGCCGATAGTTCTCTTTCTTTGACTGGTTGGTGTGACTCAGATTGAGCGGCCTGTCCACTTACTCGCCATTCTCTTTCTGGTTGGGTGGTCTTCTTGGGCCATTCTCCTGTTTCCTGGAAGACTAAAAAGCAAGTCACTGTTTCTCGTTCCTCCGCAGAGGCTGAATATAGGTCCATGGCTGCCGCTACTTGTGAACTTAAATGGTTAAAGGGTCTTTTATTGAGCTTGGGGATTCGCCATACTTCTTCCATACCTCTTTACTGTGACAGTCAGTCCGCTATTCATATTGCTCAGAATCCGGTTTTTCATGAGCGTACCAAACATATTGAAGTGGACTGTCGATTTGTTCGTGAAGCTATTCAAGATGGTCTTATTTCTCCCTCATATGTTCCCACTACTATGCAGTTGGTTGATATTTTCACCAAAGCTTTGGGCACGACTCAATTTCATTCTTTACTCTCCAAGTTGGGCATTTGTGATCTCCATGCACCAACTTGAGGGGGGGTATTGGGCTGTATTGGGCGGCCTGTTACGGCCTGTTAGTCATACCACTTCTTATTTTATTATTAGTCAAACTCTTTTATTCTTAATGTATTTCTTTAGTCAATAAAACCGCATGTGTGCGATGGACAAGTCCTAGTGGGATACTGCTAGGTATTGAGATGTATTTAACCTCCCTTTGGCATATTAATGGACACGGAAAATCATTCTTATTTGTTTAACACCTTTCGATCAGATATCTCCTTAGTTGACCGTGAATAAAATAACAATAATATTCTTCCATTTACGTTTCAAATTTTACAGAATCTTCTATATGCCTCTGCGAGACATGTGTTTTGTCACTCCCAAGAATTATGAGCTTGTCTCTGAGAGAGAAAATGTTGTCTTGACAGCGGTTTAGTAAGAGCATTAGCAAAATGATCATGCGTTGGTATATTGAGGAACTCCACTACGGTTGTTAGTATACTGGGGAACTTCACCAAGCAACTGGCGAGGAATCAAGAATTAGTGGGAAGCACATCTAATGCACCATATATGAGGGATTTTGTGGTTGGGGGTCATCCACTCAGAGCTCGACACGCCGCCCTAGGCACCTACAACCTTCTAAAATAATTATTTGCATTTATCTTATTGAAAAGGGTTGTCAAACTTGCATTGTATAACATTAGGGATGGACTCGGTTCGAGCCGGGCCCGGTTCGGGCCTTGAACCGGCCGGGCCTCGATTCAAGGTATGGGAGGCCCGGAATTGGCCCGGGTAACCCCCGGATCCGGGCCGGGCCGGGCCTCGGTTCTATTTTTTTTTTTTTTGGCTTTTCCTAGTTAACCCCCAAACCAACCCTAACCACCTCAAATGGCCCAAAATACTCAGCCCAACCCAAAAACATAAAAAAAAAAAATCAAAAAAAATATTGGCCCGGGCCGGGCCCGAACCGGCCGGGTCGGTTCACCTTTTGAAAGGCCCGAGCCCGAACCGAGATCCCACTGGGCCGGGTGGACCGAACCGGCCAACCAACCGGTTCACCGGGCCGGTCCGGTTCCGGGCCGGTTGGCCCGGCCCGAGTCCACCCCTAAATAACATAGACTTCGCTAGTTCTCTTTAGTTCTTCTGTAATCTCTCCGGTAGAACAGGGGATCAGGAATCGGGCTCGGTGAGAGTGGCGTAATTCTTGCTATTATTCTTGCCTTCATATTTGCTTAATATATTAATTGAAATACACATAATCCAACAAGATTCTTCGAAATATGAAATGATTGTGTTGGGCACTTGGGCCTTTGGTCCGGAGGACTTGACCTCAACACCCATTATGTATTTATTATGCATTTATTTAAATAATAATATAAAAGTGGTGTGTAGCTTTCGTAATTGTCGACAACAAACATTGTGTACTATTCTAAGATATCAAACGGGTATACATATGATCCCAGACTTATCGAGTCATTTGAGTGTATAAAAAAGTTTGGCTAAACTGCATCAAGACATTTTAGAGATAAAGGAGAGCCGCTGATTTAAATCTCTTGTACTTCATTGTCACATTATTCTGGATATTGAAATCAAAACTTTAATCTTCTACATTCTCGTTTATACGTGATTTTTTTATAAATATGGACTTGAATAATTCCAATTAGGTTATTCGGTTTCATCCAAACTGATTCCAGTCAGGTCTTGCCAAGACCGTCTTGGACTAGCTTCACCCCTATTAGCAATGCAACAATGGAGGAAAAAATCTTACATCAATATCAACCGTTACATTAATGTTATTATTATAGATTATGAAGTTCGGCTAAGCAATAATAACATTAATGGCAATACCAATTTTTGTGTCTAATTGACAACTCACTTAGCTGAACTTTATAATCGATAATAACATTAATAACATTTTATTAATAATTGTGACAAACCAAATAAAATGATTGAAAGATAAAAATTGTGATTGAGATTTGAATACATAAAGTAAGATCTTGTGAACCATATATTGATAACACAAAAAAATAAGACATGTAAAATGAGACAGAATAGTAAATGAGACATGTAACATAGCCAGCGTTCCGATCCTACTTTACACATTTTCATCGAGGATCGGGCACTCTTGGGACAAGAACCAGCTTCGATGACCAATTCACCCCTAACTCCACTGCAATGTACAGTTGAAGATACTAATAGTAAGACTAATAGTAATAATAATAAAATAACAACTGCAACCATAACTACATAGGCAATCCACCATGTATATAAGATTTTTTAAACAACACCAAGACTTCAACAAAGACTTCAACTCGGGAATAGAGATTTTAGCTTCTCAACTGTCATCACGTTTCAAAAGAAACACTACCTAATACAATGGGAGACTTAGCAAAACAATGATAAAGGCCTGTATACAACGCAGGGAAAAACTGAGATGTCTCGAGGAATTTTGGAGCTCACACACAAATCTATGGAAGATTCCATCCATGTGCTACACAAATCAGTATTCAAGTGATCCTAGAGATGGAAGTCCAGAGAGAAAGTCTCGTCCACCGTCAGCACTGTTGGCATTCATTCTTTGCCCCATATTGCGACCAAGGGACTCACATTTTTGCTTTCCCATTGTTTGCACATCTTCAGGTGAAAGGATTTTGATGTACCAGACATTATTCACAAAAGCACTGGAAAATGCAGTAACACAGCTTAGGTACAGCTTATCAAGGCCAGCTTATCAAGGCTTGGGGAACAATAGTTTAAAAGTTTATGAGTTGTACTTTTATATTTGTGGGGGTATGAACTGACGTAACATGCACCCACAAAATGGTGACTCATGGAAGCAAACCAATATTTAAAACAATGTACTTTTTTGTCTCAGTCAAATAAATTGTGTTTGAGCTCAATTAGCTTTTATCATATTAAGATGTCAGTTCCATTTTAAATGACAATTTGATGGGAAAAGCATACCAAGGTTTTTGTGACCAAGATCACATCTTTAAATTTAATCAGTGTGGAACTATTTAATAGATGGGAAAAGCATACAAAGGTTTTTGTAAGCAAGATCGCATCTTTAAATTTAATCAATGTGGAACTATATAATAGAAGGGAAACCTTGGAGCACCGATTACGGTGTTGCTATGTGACTGAGAGGTCAGGGATTCAAGTGAAAGTGGCCTCTTATAAAAAATGACAAGGGAAGACATGCCCCTTATACACTCTTGTGGTGGGACCCTTCCCCGGACCCTCTCCTTGCGGGGACACCAATATGCACAGGGCTGACCTTTAGTGTGGAACTATTTAATAGCCAAACATGGTTTAGAGTCGAATGATGAGCAAAACTGGTTTACATAGTCCATTAAATACTTACTCCCATGGGTCATCTCCAAGAAGAAGTATATCATTCTCCCTGTCGACGAATACAAGCTGCCAGCCTGATCTTTGAGGGTTGTCAAGCAACCCTTCAATTCCATACATCTGACCCAGTTCTTGTCTTAGTTCTTGATAGCTGTTGAACCGGGTTATGTCCAATGACCTCCCAACGGATCCTGATTTGTAAACCTAAAGGTATACATAACTCAATTTTTTTGAAGTGGTAACAAAGCAAAATAACAGCACCCCATAATAAAGATGATGAGCGCACTCACCTTTACAAACGCACTAGTTGGGGTTGGTGGGTCAACTTGTCCCCCACTCTGCATCATCTCGGATGAGTCTTGCATGTACTCATATAGAGAACTCTGAAACCCAGAAGCCCCTAATGTCTCCGAGGACATGTCAGCATCTCCATCATCAACTGAAGCAATAGTAGCACTTGACAAAGTGGTGGGGAGGAGAAGACCAAGAGAGTCTACACCATTAGCACCACCAAAAGTAACTTGATTCCTGGCATCAAAACCATCGCTGTCTTGCTGAACAGTCATATCCTGTCCATGAGCTTTGAGCATCCAGGATCTCTCAGATGGCTGTTGGTTAACCATAGTCTGGCCAGTTCTGGTGAGACTTAAAAGATTATCACTCCCTTCAGGGAATAGGGAACCTGACGGCACAAATCTTGAGTTACTTTCTGCATGGTCTTGTCTAGAGAATGATGGAGAAGTGTTAATTTGTCTTGAAGGTGAAAGTATTGGTGGAACAAAATTTGAAAATGGTCTCTGTTGAAGGTGATGGTCAGTCCTGTTAGGGAAATCTTCCGGGAACGCAAGCTGCTCCGTCTGATTACTGGTCTGCTGTTGTGGTTGCCTTTGTTGTAGGCCATCTGATGCCATTCTCATTTGAGAGGACAGCAGACATTGTTGGATCAATTGCTGCTGCTGAAATTGCATAAGTTGGTGTTTCAGAAAATCTTCACTTCCAAGGTTTTGCAGTCCTGCAGCTAGTATAGCTTGATACTGCTGGTTAATATCATTCTGGAGCATCATCGGATCAACTCTCTGTGGCATCCAAGGAAGCATACCAGCAGACTGAAGGTTAAAGGCCCGGGGTCCTGTCTCACCACCAGTTCCCTCTCCTCTCAGCCATGTCATTCCATTATTTGCATCACTATTGCCATCTGCAATGACATCAGGATTTCGCCCAAGTAACGAGCAATTTAGCAACAAAAAGTTTGACCAGTGACCTCATCAAATAACAGGTTTGCTTTAGAGGAATGGCCATATTTAAATGATACATAATATTTTATGTTAGTCTTAAATATGTTTTATTTGCAAAAAAAAAAAAAGTCATCCCTCCAATATGTTCTGTTTTCTTTTTAGTCTTCTATAATCCCGAGTCAACCTCCATTTGGCAAAACACCATGTTAATTGCATAACTCCACTCTAAACTTTTCACATTACTTTTTGGAAACTAATACTAATAGTGAAACTAATCATTCACATTTTTAATATAGGTCACAAATTCTCAATGTCACAAGGAAATAAAACTTATTACCTCCGTCCCACTCAACTTTGCCAAGTTGATGTTAGGTGGGAAATTAGAATAGTAAAATTTGTGTGGTTGAGGTTTGTGCAGAGGAGAGAGAAATGAACACAGCCACAAAAACATTGCTTTAAAAGGAAAGTGGCAAAGTTTTTTGGGACAAACAAAATAGGAAAGTTGGCAAAGTCCAGTGGGACGGAGGAATATTTATTTAAAAAAATGTGAAAAGGACATATAGAAATCCTGGATGCTAAAAGCTCATGGATGAAAAGGAAACCACTAATCTACTAATCTATCTTGAGTCGACAGGGGCCTATAAAGGAAACTGTGTAAT